GAGGGGACTCCACAAAAGAGTGCTGCTGCAGTTAAAAGCAGTTCCCTTACCAGGACAGGTATCCAATACTTGTCAGGTTAAATATTCATTTATTTTGGCCCAGTAGTTTGGTGAAATTTCTTCAACAATACTTTTTTTTTAACCAACTTATGATGTTCTAGGAGCCTCAGATATTAAGCTTTAATTTACCATAATTTTGGTTGCAATTTTACTTTCCCTTTACTACTTACAATACGAAGACCAACATTTTTAGTACTGTATAATAGTGAGAGTGTATGCACATTTGAAAACTGTAGTTATTTTGTGTTCACACTTTTGCCATGCCTTTTATAGCCTTTCCTGCTTACATGATATATCTGAAACATTAAAGGAAATGTATAAATATTTAAAATGTGCATGTTTGGGTACATAGTTTATGCAAACAGTGTTGCATCTACTGTTCATTGATATTGTTTCATTATTACTTAGTCTAATTAATTGTTTACATAATAATGCATTACACCTGTCTTTTCTACTTCATCTAAACATATCCAAACATTGCATTGTCTTTGTTTTGTCAGTGCATGTGCCAGTATGTAGCTCTTATGCCTGTCATTTTCATTTTCTTGTGTGTAATATATTTCATATTCTTAGAAGTGTAAAACGCATCTAAGAATCTAACTGATAATGGGGTTTGCACAATATTTTAAACCATCCTCTTACATTGTATAACCAATGGAAAGTTTATTTTAGACCCCAGCCATCAGAAATGTACTGGTTGCTGTTATTGCATTACAAAACTATTGAATACTACATACTTATCATACTCATTGTTTTGTATTGCCTTTCCTTTAGTTAGTCTTGTTCTGCGTAGTACAGAATATAATAGTAAATTAAATGCACAAATCATTTTTTTACTCCAGTATAGTTCACAATGAGTGGGAACTTGGATCAAACTTTTAATTTACAACCTTAAAACACTTGGTAAGAATATCCATTTTTTTTGTTAAAGTCCTCTGAATCGTCTCCTAATTTATTGATACAGGGAATCCTACGGGCACAGAAATTTTATCAGAACACCCTTTATTGTCTGAACCATCCTCTGTGAGCTTCTATAACTGGATGTCAAATGCAGTGGGTAATAGAGGCAGTGTGGTACACGAATCACCCATGATCAAGTCTGGACACAACAGCCTTCCCACAGGTATTGGCACTTAGATTTATTTGGACATTTATTAGTACAAGAAGGGAGAGAGACCACATACCTGTTTATGCAATATTCAGAGAGGGCCCCTTCCATTTTCAAGGCTGTTAAAGTACAAGAATATAAAAAAAGCACACTAGTGCATTTTGCAGTAACAATATTATCATACCAGGTAAAGGTCATAAATTATTTCATTTTGAGCCAAAAATTGCACTGCCAGTTGCCGTACTACCATTGCACTCTGAAGTTCAGTCTAGTATTGTTCTAATAGATTTTCAAACCTAGTACAATATCCAGAAATAATGGCTCATGTGTCTTTGTGTTTTATGTGATCATTGTTACATATATTCATGCTTTCATTCATAAATAACCTCAACATTCTTATATTGTCCTCTGTGTTCATCATTGGGAAGGGGTTTCAAGAGGACTTTTGACTTTTTAAATGCTATACTTCTCAAATTGCACTTCATTTAAAACATAAAAGAAATAAAAAGAAAGAGAGCTTCTGGCACCAGCCAACAAGTGCTCATTGTCATTTTACACGTAGACAAATGACAGCCAGAGTTACGTTCCGATAAAATTGTAGCATCTATAATTTATTTTTGCTAGCCTTCACAAATGAGATCCTTGTTTGTCTAGGACATTGAGTTAACTTATGAGGAGTTTTCATAGCCAATAACCCAGTGGAAGTGCATTTACATTTATTCTGTGCAAATACCGTATTTAGCCACAAGATGAAGCTAAGTATTATAGGACATTTTTATGATACTTTGGCTAATGGCCAAATGCAGTATTTTCTGTTTACAATCAATGTTCTATATTTAAACATCACAACAGATAGACTATTTTCATTTTTGACCCATTTGCAGACTGTGAATATATATGCACTTTCCCTGGGCAAATGGAATGTGAATTCCTTATAAATCAATACATGTGTGTTACACCTGGAAACAGAAAAAAAAAAAAAAACATTCGTGCCCTTTAAAAATGCTGAAGTCTTTCTGAGAGTTGTCGTCTGATTACACTGTCTAACAAATAAAATGTGTTGCTTCAGCCTGTACTAAAAACTGGGTACACACAGTTATTTCATTCAACCAGGTGGCTGAGCAAAAAGCAAAAAAACCTCAAAAAACTAAGGGCCCATTTACACATGCTTTGACTTCAATACACATTAAAACGCCTACCTTCAACATGCTTTTTTGATGTGGTCGTGATGCTTTGATGATGCTTCAATGATGCTTTTGAGGCTTTATTGAAGCTTGGCAAATGCCCTGTGTGTGTGTTGATTTTCTATTTGTTTTAAAGTGGCCCAGTAGAACTCCTGCTCATTGTTACCCTGTTCAGCAGATCCCCAGCTTATTATTACCCTTGTTCAGCAGATCTCCTGCTCAGCAGTAACCCCCAGCTCTGCTGATCCCCCGCTCAGTAGTAACCTCCAGATCTGCTTATCCCCCGCCTAGTAGTAACCCCCAGCTCTGCTGATCCTCCTGTTTGCTGATTCTCCTCGCTCTCTGGTTCCTGCTCACCTTCAACTATAGTGTTCCCATGTTGCACACCATGTGTGCCATCTGCTAGTTGCTCTGTTCCGGTCCAGACCCTTTCTGCTGCTCCCTGTTGCACACCAGATGTAAAGTCTGCACCAGGCACTTTCAGAATATATACACATGAACCAAAAGTGACTGCTGGTGACGTCTTTCTGGTTCACTTATTGGTTTCTAAGTGCATCCTGGGATATCTTATGCCTTCAATACCTCCAAAACAAAGCGAATAAAGCTGAATAAAACCCGCTCAAAAGCTGCAGGTGCTGCTAGCGAGCTTTGTCATAGACTTATATGGAGGCTTTGGAGATGCACTGAAGCACCAGGAAAGTGACATGAGGTATAATTTTTAAAGCAAAGCATTGTGTAAACAAGACTGTAAGCTTACCATTTTATTTAGTGACAGGTGCTTTGGTTGGCATTCAGAGTGCTTTAACCACTTGCCTACCAGGCACTTATACCCCCTTCCTTACCAGGCCAATTTTCAGCTTTCAGCGCTGCCGCACTTTGATTGACAATTGCGCGGTCATGCAACATTGTACCCATATGAAATTTTGATCATTTTTTTTCTCACAAATAGAGCTTTCTTTTGGTGGTATTTAATCGCCACTGGGCGCTTTACTTTTTGCGCTATAAATTAAAAAAAGTGCAAAAAATTTGAAAAAAAAAAAAAAAGTTTATTTGTTTCTTTTATAAAATTTTTCAAACAGGTATTTTTTCTCCTTCACTGATTTGCGTTGATGAGGCGGCACTGATGGGCACTGATAGGCGGCACTGATGGGCACTGATAGGCAGCACTAAAGGGCACTGATAGGCAGTACTAATGAGGTGGCACGGATAGGCGGCACTGATAGACAGCACTAATTAGGGGTCACGGATAGGCGGCACTGATATGCAGCACTAATTAGGGGTCACGGATAGGCGGCACTGATATGCAGCACTGATAGGCGGCACTGATAGGTGACACTGATGATGGGTACTGATAGACGGCACTGACTGGCATCACTTCTGGGCACTGACTGGCGGCACTGACTTTGGCACAACCCCTGGGCACTGACTGGTGGCACTGACTGGCAGCACTGCTGGGCTGCCCTGGTGGGTGGCACTGGTGGGCAGCACTGGTGGGTGGGCACAGATGGGTGGCACTGGTGGGCACAGGTGGGTGGCACTGGTGGGTGGGCACAGGTGGGTGGCACTGCTGGGCACATGTAGGTGGCACTTCTGGGCACAGGTAGGTGGCACTGCAGAGTGGCACAGGTGGGGGCACTGCTGGGCACAGGTGGGGGCACTGCTGGGAACGGGTGGGTGGGGCTAGTGGGCGCACTGCTGGGCAGAACTTGCGGGTGTCACTGCTGGGCACCGATCATCAGGGCACTGATCATCAGTGCCCTGATGATCGGTGCCGATCCCCGCTCTGACAGCTGCCGGTTCTCGGCAGTACTTTCCTCACGATCTGACAGCGTGAGGAAAGTGCAGCCGAGAACCGGAACTTGCATTTCCCTGTGATCAGCGTGTCATTGGACACCGCTGATCACGTGGTAAAAGGCCGGTGGGATCGGCCTTTCACCACATCACGTGATCAGCTGTGTCCGTAGGACACAGCGATCACGGAGATCGCCGGGTGCGCGCCCCCTGGGGCGCACAGGAGAGCGCGTTCTGGGGAGGACGTCATATGACGTCCACTCAGAACTGGCCGGCCGCGGTGAAGCCGTCATTCGGCTATGCGCGGTCGGCAAGAAGTTAAAAAAGCGTGTGCAATTCTACATCTTGAAGCAAGTGTAAACGAGCCCTCAGAGATTCCCACATCCATAGTAGCGAGATGGATGCAGCAATCCTCCCTGCTGTGCTATTGTATTCTGACAATAGGATGGGACTGCTGTCAGAATACACTGATCAGCACTGCAGCCAATTGGCTACAAGCTGTTGATCAAAGGAAGTTTTTCAGCTGAACCGTTTAAGAGAAACCCATCTAATGATTGGTTTCTGTTAAACCTGTGATGCTACACACAGGTTGGAATTTGGCCGGTTGCTGTTGAACTGTTAGACTTTTGATCTATGTGAACCCAGCTTAAGCATATTCAGGTCAAATTCACATAAAACTATCCATGGGGTTTTGTATTTGCCTATAAATTATTATATTTTAAGGTCCTCTAGAAGAATAAGCAAATGTTGCTCTAAAAGAAACAAACCCTAATAAAGTACCGTATTTTTCGCATAAACCATAATACACACCTAGGTTTCAGAGGAGGAAAACAAGAAAAAAATATTCTGAGCCAATGGACTGCAGACATAGTACAGGAAATAACCAGAGACTGCGGATGTACTACAGGAGATGACCAGACAGAAACTGCTGATGTTCTACAGGAGATGACCAGAGACTGCAGACATAGTACAGAAGATGACCAGAGACTGCAGACATAGTACAGGAAACGACCAGAGACTGCTAATGTACTACAGGAGATGACCAGAGACTGCAGACATGGTACAGGAAATGACCAGAAACTGCAGACATAGTACAGGAGATGACCAGAGACTGTGGACATAGTACAGGAGATGACCAGAAACTGCAGACATAGTACAGGAGATGACCAGAGACTGTGGACATACTACAGAAAATGACCAGAGTCTGCGAACATAGTACAGGAGATGACAAGAGACTGTGGACAGAGTACAGGAGATGACCAGAGACTGCGAACATAGTACAGGAGATGACAAGAGACTGTGGACATAGTACAGGAGATGACCAGAAACTGCGGACATAGTACAGGAAATGACCAGAGTCTGCGGATGTACTACAGGAGATGACCAGAGACTGTAGACATAGTACAGGAGAGTACCAGAGACTACAGACATAGTACAGGAGATGACCAGAGACTGCAGACCTTTGGAGTGCAGGTACCCAAATTTTACAGGTACCCGCTCCCACTTCCGCTGTGATCGCCTAGGCGATCGGAAGTGGACGTTGTCCTCCCTCCCTGTAGTCTTCTGGGACACGTGACAGATCCCAGAAGACTACGGGGCCATTCAAAAAGCACAGTGCTTCTCACGCATGCACAGTGGGCACCCGGCTGTGAAGCCGCAAGCTGTCACAGTCGGGTGCCCACACTAAACATGCTGGCACCAGGGAGAGAAGATGGCTGGTGAAACCAGCGGTGGTGAGGACACCGCTGGACGGAGGAACAGGTAAGTGGCTGTATTTCAAAAGTCAGCAGCTACAGTTTTTGCAGCTGCAGACTTTTTTTTTTTTCTCCAGCTGGAACTCCACTTTAAGGGGCAGCTGCTTTGGGCCCCCTGCCCACAGAAGAGCCCAGTATTTTAACACGGCGGTAGCGGAGGTAGCCCGGCCCCTCCATATTCGCTCTTTAAGGCGCACAGACATTTCCCCCCATTTTTGGGGGGGGGGGGGGGGGGAAGTGCATCTTATGGAGCGTAAAATACGGTAAATGTAAGAAATACATAAGCGGGTTGTTTCCAGAGTTAACAATCATTTTCAATACATGGCTTTTAAGTTTGAAGTGAGGCTGGTGTTTTGTGTCTTGTATTATTTAACTTTTGAAGCTCTATCTTGCTTATAGTATGTTTGATAATGAAGGATAGTTTCATTCCTGAAATAAAATGTATGTGGTAACACGGAACAGACAAAATAGAAAAGGTACTCTTTTACCAACTAGATATGTAAAATCAAAAACTTTTTTGTTTGAAGTAAACTAAGTATTTTATTCTTTTTTGATATGCAGGATTTTAAAGTGTAATTCTGGACAAACGTTTAAGCACGCTTTTTATATACATATATGTTTGCTGTTTTACCTGAAAAAAATTTGTAAGTTTGAAGAACTGCTCTTTTGATTTACATACCACTCAGCCGGGCAAGTGCTACATTTATTGTATGTCACCTTTCCACCTTTGGGGGCTCATTGCACAATGAATCATTAATATTGCCTCTGCGTGATTAGCAGAGAATTGATCTATGAACAAGTGTACTTGCTTCGGGGTTTAGTAAAGCTGTATCTTATTTCTATAGTAATAAGAACTTCCTGCCTGTGCAATGTAGCAGGAGTATGAAGATCGTAAGATCATTGAAAGATCAATATAAATCTTTTGCCACGTAAAACAGTTGTCACATATATAGGAAAGAATCTGCCAACAGAGCTGTTTTGTACACAAATTAATTTTGTTTACACTTGTTTTATTCATACAGCGTTTATTTTTTTCCAGCAACAACACATAACTTGCCAACCATTCCTTCAGCTTCAGATTTCAACACTGTACTATCGAGTGATCAGAACACAATGGATGGAACCCACTCTCAGCACAGCAGCAGCCAAGATGATATAGCTGGCATTGAAGAAGGCAACCAAGGATTCCCTGCTGTCCAGCTCGCAGATGCACAGGTTGAAAAAATAATACATAACTATTAGGAACTCTCCATGGATCAGCACAAACTAAAACTTAAAGAGAAGTACAGCCAAATATCTTTTGGCTGTACTTCTGTGGCTTACAGGAGTGCAGTTCGTTCTGCACTCCTGTGACCTGTTTTGAGCCTACAGCTGGCTGAAGTCACTCAGCTGGTCCAGGCTGGGGAAAGACTTCAAAGTTGGTTTCCACCCCCAGAGTCTTTAGTGGCACCGTGCTCAGGTTCTCAGTGAGCTGCTGTGGAGCACTGTGGTAGTTAATTGAGGCTTCCTGTCAGAATATCTGCTTGCTCATACATCCCATGCGGCAAGTAGATATTCTGACAGGTTTGCAGGAGACCTGCATGGCATCAGCGATCTACTGATTGCTGGTGCAATGCTTTCCAGGTTCTTGCAGACCAAAATAATAAAGGCACATTTTATTACCTGCAAAAAAATGTGCAATTATTATTTTTGTCAAAAAGGTGACCCTATCCTTTAAGAGATGCAGCTAATGCTGTGAGTGCCTTTGATGAAACAGGAACATGTTTTTGAAGAGGTGTGTGGAGTGCACTTTGATTAGCGAGTATCAGAAGTAATTATATTTTTCCTGATATTTAAAGTTAAATTACTGTGTGATCTTTTCTGCCCTAGGTGGTGTTTTAAACCTCTGCTGAGTCATACAGGTATCCAGGCACAAGATGTTGTCCCGTTAAGCTACAGAATGTACTTTGGGGAACACCTATCCTTCTCTGGCACATTAGACTGTCTGAGAGCTGACATAGTTGATTCTGATACTTCAAAAGAAAGGAGGAGTAAAAGAGCCAGAAGGTTTGTTCTGTATTTAATATGCTGTCATTCGGTCTTCTCATTTCTATAATAAAAGCTGAAATATTATGTCCCTTATTTGTGTCTTTAGACAGGGAGCCATCAATCTTCCTCCACTTGAATTCAAACCTGCTCTAATGCTCGAAACCTTCAGTATAAATGCAGTGGTAATGGAAAAATCTATGTCCACTCCTCAGAACCCCACCAGTGCTCTCTCTTTTCATGACCTCAGCAAAAGATACTATAACACCTTCCACTGTAACTTCACCATATCCTGCCAGTCCATCAGTCAGCATGTAGATATGGCCTTGGTACGGCTTATACATCAGTTTAGTACAATGATTGATGACATCAAGGCAACACAGACAGATATCAAACTCAGTAGATACACAGCTGGTTCAGCTTCACCCACTCCTACCTTCAAGACAAGAAAACATCGAGATTTTCGTTCCTCTGATTTCAGTCGCAGCTCTCGGGGCAGTCTAAATGGAGGCACAAGAGTGAATAATTTAAAGAACAAAAGAGCCAGCACCGATAACAACAAGAAAGAGTCTCGAAACAAGAACTCATTGGGAAGATCAGAACGGAGAACCTCCAAGGTTTCTCGCAAGGGCTCCAAAGATGCAGTAGATCACATGACAATCCAGATGGATGACTCAGATTCCATAACTGTTTCAGAACAAAGTGAGCCCTCTGCAGAGTGCTGGCAGAACATGTACAAACTGCTCAACTTCTACTCTCTTATATCTGACCCCACTGGGTTTTTGGAAAAGTCATCCGAACCTCTTGGTCCTGCAGGTAAATGTTAACACACAGCCTTCAAGTTTTCTTTTTGTTTAAATGTGCATCTTCTGTGTAATCTGTTTTTTTTTTTTTTTTTTTTATTCCATCAAAATATATCTCAAGTACCCTGTATCCCTCTGAAAAAGGGTAAGAAGGGCAGTGCCTCTACTGGTTTGAGTTTTCATATGTTCAGTGTATGTGAATGAAATCACTGACTGACTGTGTTATCATTTTTTTTAAATTTTATTCCATCAAAATACAGTGCTTAGCATAAATGAGTACACCCCAACAGATTTGTCAGAAAACCTTTAGTTTCCTTTTAGAATAAACATTTTCTATGGGACACTATACTACAAAATTGATTGCAAACAAGATTTCTTAATTTGCACACACAAAAAAAAGTATTTTTGCTAACAAATTAATTCAAGACCATGTTGCAAAAATGAATACACGCCAATGAAAGTCTTAGGAGCAAAGCTAAATTTTAGTCAACAACATCATAATTAACAAGAATTCAACTACAGGTGAGTCTAATTATTCATTAAATAGGTGTCCAGCAGAGAGTTGATTATAAAAGGGTGTTCCTTAACAAAGAAAACCCCTTCGCATTTCATGCTGTCAGCAATGGCTCTGAATGGAAGAGAAATGTCACAAGGCTTGAAAAAGAAATTAATTCCTTTACACAAGAAAGGTGAAGGCTACAAGATCAGCAAAGCTTTACTTATCAGTCAGAATACTGTAGAAAAAGTGATACAAACATTTAACAAAGATGGAACTGCAACCATCTCTCAGAGACATCCAGACATCCAAGAAAATCACCTTGCAAGTTCACTGCAGTTAGCTAAAGAAATAGAAAGCCAAACTGGGGTGATTGTTTGCCGTGACACAATACAGTGTACACTGCAGAGGAATGGCATATATTGGGTGTCGTCCACGAAAGGAGGCTTCTCCTAAAGCCCATGCACAAGAAGCCCACCTAGAATTTTCCTGGGCCCATTCTGAAAAAGAAGATGACTACTGGACTCTGTACTAAAGTTACAAAGCCAAGGAGTACAAAGAAAAATGCATGATGCCTACCGTGAAACGTGGTGGCAGTGTCCTTCTATGGGGCTGCATGACTGCTGGTGTCAGGGAGCTGAATTTCATTGATGGTATCATGAATTCAAAGATGTACTGCTCTATATTGAAAGAGAAGATGCTGCCATCACTCTGTGCCCTTGGTCGTTGTGCACTTTTCCCATATGACAATGATCCAAAACACACATCTAAAGCCACGGTTGCATTTCTGAAGAAGAACAGGGTGAAAGTAATTCAGTGGCCAAGTATGTCTCCTGATCTGAACCCAATTGAACACTTATGGGGAATTCTAAACAGACAAGTTGAGAATCACTCTCCATCCAGCATCCAGGCTCTAAAAGAGGTTGTTCTTAAAGAATGTAAAAAGATAGCTGTTGCAATATGTTGCCAACTTATTCATTCCACGCCTTGGTGCTCTCCTTACAAATCATGGAGGTCATACAATATACTAGATGTAGTAGCTTTTGTTGTGGGGTGTATTCATTTTTGCATCAACTAATTTGAGTAAAACTGAAGATTTTGTAATCTAAGTTATATTATTAACCTTCTTTCATGTAATGAGCTAAACAAATGTTCTATAAATCTCAGTTGTAATTCAGTTGGAAATTGTTCTTGTGTTCATTGAGATATTTATTAAAATTTTACTTTTCAGAAGGGATATACTCATTTATGCTGAGCACTGTATACCTCAAGTACCTTGTGTCCCTTGGAAAAAAAGATATGACGGCCAGTGCTTCTGCTGGTTTGAGTTTCTATATTATCAGTGTAGGTGAATGATATCACTGACTGCATTGCATTTATGTCGGAGGCCAAGAGGCAGGTGGCAGGGTTGCCAGGTTATAATAATAATAATAATAAAAAGCCCAGGAAAGTAACCATGACCTCTTCCAAGATATAAGCCTAAAAAAAAAAATATATAAAGACATCAGACACAATCATATATACACTGAAGTACTTACTTCAGTTAAAATTAGCATGTTGTCCAGTTCTGGAAACCTCACTTACAAAAATATACTGATTAGATAGAATGAGTCTAGAGATGGGAAACAAAAATGGTGAAAGGTCTGAGGGATAAAACGTTACAGGAGAAACTGCAGGAACTCCAAGCTGTACAGTCTTGATAAAAACGGGAAATGAGGGACTTGCTTGAAACATTTAAATACATTAAGGCTGTGAATAAAGCCGACCATAGATGATGCAATTTTCGCTCGATTCCCCCAACAACACAGTCAGTCTTGATGGGGGAATCCCTCCCGCAGTGCTATTGTGTTCTCCAAGAAGGGGGGGGGGGAATGGGAGTGGTGTCTCTGCCGGGAGAACACAGTGATTATTGGTAGCGGCTATAGCCGCTGGCAATAAGCGCATGTATAATCTGACATGTTGGTTGTATCTAAGTCATACAACAACTGAAATGACTACAATCAGCCTGCCCATACATGACTCAAATCTCGGCCGGTTCCTGCTTAATTGGCCGAGATTCGAACCACCATGTATGGCCGGATTAAGGTTCAAGCATATAGTATTTTCAATACAAAGTTATGATCAAAAACATGTGGGCATGACCTCAAACTATCAGGAGAAAAGTTCCAAATTGACCTTAGAAAGTTTTTTTTTTTTTTTATTTTACTGAAAGAGTAAGCCCCTGTTCACACCAATTTGATTTGTCATGCGATTTGACAGTTGCATCCTATTTGTGCCTATGGAGCCATTCAAATCGGTGTGACTTTGAGAAAACAGTGACCGATTTTGGGAAAAGGTTCCTACACTATTTTTTGCAATTTCATGTGCCATTTTGCATTGACATCTGTGCATGAAGACGCACAGATATCAGCAAGCCCCATATGAAAACGCACTGACCAATGGCTTTCGGCGAGAAGCAGGACTTATAGATGCTTGGAACAGACTTCCAACAAAGGTAATGAGTTAGTCAACAAGTAAATTTAAGCATGCTTGGTACATACACTATATTGCCAAAAGTATTGGGACACCCCTCCAAATGATTGGATTCAGGTGTTCCAATTACCTCCATGGCCACGGGGTTATAAAATCAAGTACCTAGGCATGCAGACTGCTTCTACAAACACTTGTGAAAGAACGGGTCTCTCTCAGGAGCTCAGTGAATCCAAGCATGGTACCATGATAGGTTGCCACCTGTGCAATGAGTCCATCCATGAAATTTCCTTGCTACTAAATATTCCACATTCAACTGTTAGTGGTATCATAACAAAGTGGAAGCAACTGGGAATAACAGCATCTCAGCCACGAAGTGGTAGGGCACTTAAAATGACAGCGGGGTCAGCACATGCTGAAGAGCTCAGTGCTCAGAAGTCACCAACTGTCTGCAGAGTCAATAGCTAAAGACCTCCAAAATTTGTGTGGCCTGCAAATTAGCACAACAGTGCGTATAGAGCTTCATGGAGTGGGTTTCCATGGCTGAGCAGCTGCATCCAAGCCTTACATCACCAAGTGCAATGCAAAGCGTCGGATGCAGTGGTGTAAAACACGCCGCCACTGAACTATAGAGCAGTGGAGACGTGTTCTCTGGAATGATGAATCACACTTCTCTGTCTGGCAATCTGATGGATGTGTCTGGATTTGGCAGTTGCCAGGTGAAAGGTACTTGCCTGACTGCATTGTGCCAAATGTAAAGTTTGGTGGAGGGGGGATTATGGTGTGGGGTTGTTTTTTAGGGGTTGAGCTTGACCCCTTAGTTCCAGTGAAGGGAACTCCTCAGGCGTCACCATACCAAGACATTTTGAATAACTTCATACTCCCAGCTTTGTTGGAACAGTTTGGGGGATGGCCCCCTCCTGTTATAACATGACTGCGCACCAGTGCACAAAGCAAGGTCCATAAGGACATGGATGAGCGAGTTTGGGGTGAAGGAACTTGATTGTCCTGCACAGAATCCTGACCTCAACCCAATAGAACACCTTTGGGATGAGATAGAGTGGAGACTGCGAGCCAGGCCGCCTTGTCTGACATTAGTGCCTAACCTCACAAATGCTCTTCTGGAAGAATGGTCAAACATTCCCATAAACACACTCCTAAACCTTGTGTACAGCTTTCTCAGAAAAGTTGAAGCTGTTATTGCTGCAAAGAGTGGGCAAACTCAATGTTGAACCCTACAAACTAAGACTAGGATGCTATTAAAGTTCATGTGCGTGTAAAGGTGTCCCAATACTTTTGACAATATACTGTACATAGATCTATAGTGTACTTGGATTAAAAAAAAAAAAAAAAGGAAAAAAAAATAAAATATGGGACAGACTTGGTCTTTTTCTGCAATCACTCTCTTTTTTGTTCACACTGACATGCAGAAGCTTAGAGGCAAGTTTAGAAATAATGTCCCTGTTCTGGAAATTGCACCTCCCAAAATGAGAATCTTCTAATGAAATGGTGTAGCAATAGGGAACATTTATAAATTAGGATACAGTCATTAAAATGTATGCACTAATGGAAGGAGCATCAGATCAAAGGATAAACAGTCCAAATACATTTTTTGGTTTTATACTAAATAACAGCCAAAATGTTTCGGGGTCAGAAAAACACTGCCCCCTCACCAGGTGTTCAATTAAATTAAGAACCTTGAATGGACTCAAAATAGAGCTTTTCTGAGTGCATTGTGTACTGAAGCTAATTGCTAGATCAAGAGTACTAACCAACATTATCTGATTTATCTGCAGTCAGTTTCTTGCTTTAAGCTAGCTTTTTGTTGAAGGAATGAATACAAATCCATTCACTGTTTTTCAAAATTTTAGGAAGGAGTCCATCGGAGCCAACATGCAGGGTGGTATTTGAAAATGAACAGGACAGCAATAGCCTGAATAGGAGTCAGAGAAAACGCAGTCTAGTTACAGCAGAGCCACAGCATGTCACACTAATAGTGTTTGGAATAGGCATGGTGAATCGCACTCACCTAGAAGCTGACATTGGAGGCCTGACCATGGAATCTGAGCTCAAGAGGATTCATGGAAGCTTTACCTTGAAAGAGAAAATGAAAGGTAAATAAACCATGAATTTTGGATTGTGAATGTGTTTTCTATCACTTTTCCTTGTACTTTGTAATATAGATTGACATAGTCTACTTTTTCGAAAGTAGAAAACTAGTATGTCTTTCCATACAGCAATAATATTATATCCATTCATTTTTGCCTGATGTGAATCAGATTTTAGCTTGATTGTCTATTCACATACACTGTTTATGAGATGTATGTTCTTATGAGAAAATAGTATGCAAATAACTTGATTTTTTTTTCATTCTGAAATTTTATATATGCTTGCTAGAGGAGAGCGATTTAGTTTTGCCGCTTTTCCACAAGTCTGTTTGATATAATTACATATTTTTAAAATTGCTGTTCTTTTAAAGAGCACTTGCAGCAAGACGCTTTAATTCTGACTCCAGGTTGTAGGACCTCCTTCCTTTATTAAGGCCTGATTGGCTCTATGATGTCCCCCATCACATACTATTCTATTGGCCAAATAGAGTTAAAGTTTATACTGTAAAGTGTAAACCTAATGAAACAACGTATCTTCTTCCTTTGGTTTGTTAAATATGTCTACAAAAGTATTTAGTTATGTCTAATAAGTGCAAAAAATACCTGTTTTCCCGACAGAAACCCAGTGAGCTGAACTTCATGTGTGCTCTGCCTCTGCTGCATTGAAATCCAAAACTGTGTTAGCCCTGCCCAGAACACCTCTATGAACTACTTTTGTAATGCAGACAAGGCAAGGGGGAGGTATTCTTCAGTCTTTATACATTTTTTTACCTGAAGTGACAATGCTGCCTTTCCATAGATACAGTACAGTGAGGGACCATTACCACTCTTGGTTAGGAAGTGTTACTGGCAGAATCACAAGATGAAATTAAAGGAAAAAGGCAAAAAAAAAGGGAAAACAATGCAGGGACTACATCCAAGGACTGGAAAGTTGCAGAATATTACATTTTTGTTGTTGTGTTTAGATATTCTTGTGGCTGCATTTCTTTGTTTAGATGGGTGGTTAGGAGTGGAAAAATAATGTGTGTTCAGTGCACTAAATGAGCTGCAGCTTGTAAGTTTCGTGAACCTAAAAAAGTTCTTCCCCTTCACTAGTTTTTTTTTAGACATGAGGCCCCACTCACGCACCTAATGGGAAAAATAATTCAAGCACCAAATATTTAGTAAAGAGACACGCCACATATATATAGCAAAGAGATACTCCCATATATATTTAGAAAGGCACATGCCCCTTATATCCAGCAAAGAGACATGCCCCTTATATCCAGCAAAGAGACATGCCCCTTATAACCAGGAAAGAGACATGCCCTTATAACCAGGAAAGAGACACACCCTTTATAACCAGGAAAGAGACATGCCCCTTATAACCAAGAAAGAGACATGCCCCTCATAACCAGGAAAGAGACATGCCCCTTATAACCAGGAAAGAGACATGCCCCTTATAACCAGGAAAGAGACATGCCCCTTATAACCAGGAAAGAGACATGCCCCTTATAACCAGGAAAGAGACATGCCCCTTATAACCAGGAAAGAGACATGCCCCTTATAACCAGGAAAGAGACATGCCCCTTATAACCAGGAAAGAGACATGCCCCTTATATCCAGCAAAGAGACATGCCCCTTATATCCAGCAAAGAGACATGCCCCTTATATCCAGCAAACGGGAGTTTCTCCATACAAATGCATCCTCATATATCCAGCAAGGAGACACCCCCATATATCCAGGAGACATCCCCCATATATCCAGCAAAGAGACATCCCCCATATATCCAGCAAAGAGACATCCTCCATATATCCAGCAAAGAGACATCCCCCATATATCCAGCAAAGAGACTCCCCCCCATATATCCAGCAAAGAGACATCCCCCATATATCCAGCAAAGAGACATCCCCATATATATCCAGCAAAGACATGCCCCATATATCCAGCAAAGACATGCCCCCAGCAAACGGGACATGCCCCATATATCCAGCAAACGGGACATGCCCCATATATCCAGCAAACGGGACATGCCCCATATATCCAGCAAACGGGACATGCCCCATATATCCAGCAAAAAGAGACTCCCCCCATATATCCAGCAAAGAGACATGCCCCATATATCCAGCAAAGAGACATGCCCCATATATCCAGCAAAGGACATGCCCCATATATCCAGCAAACGGGACATGCCCCATATATCCAGCAAACGGGACATGCCCCATATATCCAGCAAACGGGACATGCCCCATATATCCAGCAAACGGGACATGCCCCATATATCCAGCAAACGGGACATGCCCCATATATCCAGCAAACGGGACATGCCCCATATATCCAGCAAACGGGACATGCCCCATATATCCAGCAAACGGGACATGCCCCATATATCCAGCAAACGGGACATGCCCCATATATCCAGCAAACGGGACATGCCCCATATATTCAGCAAGGAGTCATCCCCTATATATCCAGTAAGGCTTCATCCCCCATATATCCAGCAAGGAGTCATCCCCCATATATCCAGCAAGGAGACATCCTTATATATCCAGCAAGGAGACACCCCTCCCCCCATTATATCCAGCAAATAAACATGCCCCATATGTTTAGCAAATAGACATTCCCCATATGTTCAGCAAAGAGACATCCCCCATATATCCAGCAAGGAGACATCCCCATATATCCAGCTAAGAGACAGCCTAGTCCAGCTAAGAAACAGTCCAGTCCCGCTAAGAGACAGTCCAATCCAGCTAAGAGTCAGCTTAATCTAGCTAAAAGACAGCACAATTTAGTTAAGAGACAGTTTCAACTAAGAAACTGTCACAGACCCACATCCAAGCAGCTTTAATAGACAAAGCCCCATCCTGTAACATTGCCAATCAGTAATTTACCAAGGCTGTAGAATGTCTCTCCACTCGCTGTTTCCACAGCAATGCAGCACAATGAGCACTGAACAGTCAGGCTACTACATGCGTCGCTCTTCTTCCACACAGCTCCGAGTGTGACTGCTGCCAAAAAGAGCATTCGGTCTGCAGGGAGAGGCAGAGTGCGGATGATATCACTCCACCTTCCACTCTCTCTGACTGCAGATGGAAACTGTATCCCTATCGCCGACTTATGTGGCCACCAGCTCACTTTGTGGCCGCTCTCTTATTTGAGGCGACTCTTTCATTAAGCAAAATAGGCAGCCGCGAGGCCTTAGGTGTCCGCGCCTAATTTGCCTAATTAAAAATCCACCTCTGAACATGTGTTACTGTTTTAGCTGGTTCATGCACATTGTTTTGTCAATAGTTAACATTTGACTTGAAATGGTTGTTTTTACATTTTTGCACTTTGTTTTTTTTTTCTTTTAGATGTACTTCATCAGAAAATGACAGAGACATGTGCCACAGCTCATATAGGAGGGGTTAATATTGTTCTTCTGGAGGGTATTACACCAAATATACAGTAAGTTGCTCTTTGGCAACAGACTTTTCTTTCTACGGTTTGCAATTTAACCATACAGTATATGTTGTTGAAGTAGTCCTGTATCTAGGATTGTCAGCTGTTACATTTAGTCAAATTTGCTTGTTTTTGATGGCCCTTTGCTCTCATGTTCAAGGTGATAAATGCTGCTAGAATGAAAGTGTTGCATTAAACGTATGCTTTTTTTTTATAGCTAAATAGCTGACAGAA